AGGGGGGAGGGGTGGGACGAGTAGGGGCGGGCGAGGGGAACTGTTACTGTGATACTGTTGCCGTTTTGATGGCCCTCTGGTGACGGCCGTTCGGCGCCCTGCCACGCCGTGCCGCACCGTGGCGCGGAGATTCTTTTACTGCTCCCCTGGTTATGGTAATGCCCGCGTCTGCGACCGCGTAACGGCGGAACAAAAGTGTGCAGCAGGCGCTTCACACCCTCCGCGCCAGCCCGCGGCCCGGGCCAAGCCCGACCGCGTCACGACATTTTGCCGGCGGGCATAGCAGGGCGGTGCGGGGCGGGGCGGGGTGGGGTGGGGCGAGTGGCCTGTCGCCACCCCACCTTCGTTATCTTCGAATGGATCCCGGCGCCGCCGCCGCGCCACGACCACGACCGCCGGGGCCGCGTAGTGAGGCGCGCCCGCACGACGCGGGGCTGTGGCGGGCCTGCCTATCCCCGCCAGCGCGGGCGCCCCGCTGCCTCCTCGTCCAGCTCCACCATCACCACCCACCATCCGCTTCTCCCCTCAACCTCTGTCCGCTACGGCAGCCCGGTCACCGTGCCCCCCAATGTTGCAGTCCCGCCCAAGATCACCCCGTTCGCGTTCCAAACGGACCTCCACGTCGGCGAGCGCGCCGGCGTCCAGTGCTTCGCCAGCAAGGGCGACCTGCCGCTGCGCCTGGAGTGGCGCTGGGAGCCGCTGGCCGTGGCGGCCGGGGCGGCCCCCTCCGCCGCCGGCGCCGCGGTGCCGCTGCTGCCCGACGTGGCCGTGCGCACCCAGGGCGAGCACGTGAGCTCGCTGGGCATCGAGTCGCTGCGGCCGGAGCACGCCGGCACGTACATCTGCACGGCGAGCAACGCGGCGGCCAGGGTGGACCACGCATCGCAGCTCATAGTCAACGGTACTGTCTCCCCGTGGCTTTGCCCTCCCCGGTCTGCTCCCTCCTCCCGCAGGTGTCTAGGTGCGGCGGCAGCAGCGTGGCGTGCGGACGGCGGGTGCGTCCCCGGCCGGTGCGCGCGCGCCTGACCAGCAAGTCCGTTTTGGTTCCAGTGCCGCCGCGCGTCGGCCCGTTCGCGTTCGGGGACCTCATAGAGGGCGCGCGCACGCAGGTGCAGTGTGCCATCCAGGCCGGCGACCGGCCCTTCAAGCTGCGCTGGCTCAAGGACGGCGTGCCCCTGGACGACCCGTACGCGCCCTCCTCTGCCGCCAGGCTGGGGCTCAACGTCACCCAGGACACGTACTCGACGACGCTCGTGATCCCGCGCGTGGCCCGCGAGCACGCCGGCAACTACACGTGCGCCGTGGCCAACGCGGCCAAGACCACGGTCGTGACCGCGCCGCTCGTGGTCAGCGGTAAAGTAACCGTTTGTTGGCCTTTGCAGCAGCGTTGCGCAGCACCACGGCCCGGCGCCGCCACCAGCACCAGCACCAGCACCGCACCATGTCTGTCTCACCACCACCAACACACCGCCTCTTGGGGACGATCGGGCAGTGGTTGGGGGCCGTCCGCGTCCGTGCGCATGTCTTGCCTTTCATAGAAGGGAACTTTTTCGAACGGTTCACTCACGTGGACGTGGACTGATGAGTGCTCCCAATCACTGCTGCCCTCGCCCGCACTGTAATGTTCGTGTTGTGTCGCACCGTACTGCACATCACCTTTACGTCCTTGAGTCGAGTACGGCAGCGCCCACGCTCCACGACCTTCCATTCTGTCATTTTCATGAGTGTTGATCGTGTTGATGCTCTAAAAGCAAGTGTGGAAATTGGGTACGCCTGTTTACTTGCCTCAAGGACCGGTCCAGTTAGAAGCAATTTGTCGATTCGTCATAATCCGTTCATGTAATGTAATTTTTAACTTGATAAGCTTGTGATCTTTGATATCTCAGTGTTTGAGAGTAAAACGACGTCGAATACGTGGCGTTCTCGCGTGAAAAATATCGATAGCGAATCGACTTATTATTTCTGGCCAGCCCATTACCAGCCAGCACCCTCACCTGCCCTTCCGGTCTGCACCCACTGCCAGCACCCTCACCTCACCCTGCTTCTTTACAGTGCCCGTGCGGCATTGCACATGAGCCCAAGTGGACTCGAAGGGGAGTCGGGTACGAACGAAAACGTGTGGTACTTACATGATACTACTTTTTCTCTTAGTGGGTACCCATAGCACTGTTCCTGTTGGTGTTGTTTAGCCACAAAAAAAATCTTCCTCTTATGCTTGTCTCTTTCTTTTGAACGAACTTATTCACTTGCTTGCCAGGTATCTTGCATGACATCACTACTTGCACCACGAAAATGTCCATGTACACCAAAAGTGTTTTGATTTACTGCTTTAATCTATAAAATGTTTTTTTTCTTCTGTGTATTGAGTGTGAGCACCGTATAAGCTATATGTATTTGCACTGTTTCGCGTTCGTACCTTTCCGTGTTTTTATCTTGTAAGCTCCTCTTGAAATGAAAATGAATTAGTTTACAAATGTCGTTGTTTTGGACGCCTGACTGAGCATCGTGTCTGGGCTCCCGCAGTGCCGCCGCGGTGGGCGTCTGAACCTCGTGACCAGAACGTGACCCGGGACCAGTCCGTGGCCTTCCACTGTCGCGCCGACGGCTTCCCTCAGCCTGTGGTCACCTGGAGAAAGATTATAGGTAGGTCCTAACCCTCCTCTGCCATCCCCACGCTAATTCCGAGACCTTGCCTGCAGACGTCGCACCGTGACCCACTGCCCCCTCCCGCTGCCTGCAGGCACTCAGCCCAGCGAGTACCAGGACCTCGCTGTGTCGGTGCCGGGGATGTCCGGGCGCCACCGCGGGGTGCAGGTCTTCTCCAACGGCACCCTCCTCATGAAGCAGGCCCTCCCCGACCTGCAGGGCCAGTACATGTGCGAGGCCTCCAACAACATCGGCGCCGGCGTGTCTGCCGTCGTCAACCTCAAAGTGCACAGTGAGTAGTGCGCACGCGCGCGGTGGAGACACCTCTGTTGTATGCTTTGGCAGTTTGCGTCAGAGGGTTTACATTCCTGTGTCCGTCTGCCTTTGCAGTTCCGCCCGAGTTCGAAGTCAAGTCGGCGCAGGTGTCCGTGCGGCGTGGTGCCCCCCAGACGCTGAGCTGCCAGGTGCTGGGCGACGGGCCGATGACGGTGTCGTGGCAGCGCGACGGGCGCGACAGCGGGCGCGACGTGGTGCACACCAACCCGCGCTTCGAGGTGAAGGAGAGCGAGGTGAAGGGCGGCTTCCTCTCCGAGCTGCACATCTCCTCCACGGCCAAGTCGGACAGCGGCCCGTTCTTGTGCGTCGCCACGAACCCCTTCGGGCGGGCCGAGCGCGTCGTGCACCTGCAGGTGCAAGGTAAGTGGCGCGCCGCTGGGGCGCAGTTCGCCGGCAGCTGCAGGCGCACGCAGCTGACCCGAGCCTCTCTCTCCTCCGCAGACGCCCCCGGACGGCCGCAGGACGTTCGCGTGCTGGAGGCGGGCAGCCGGCAGGTGAAGCTGACGTGGCTCGCGCCCCAGGACGACCGCGCGGCCGCGGGCTCCTACAGCCCGGCGCTGCAGTACTCGGTGCAGGTGCAGCTCCAGGGCGACGAGGGGGACGCGTGGCGGCCGCGGCCGGCCGTGGCGGAGCAGCGCGCCCTGGTGATGGACTTGTCCCCCGCCACCGTCTACCGGCTTCGCGTCGTGGCGGAGAACGAGCTGGGCGCCGGCGAGCCCAGCGACGCCGTCACCGTGCGCACGGACAGCGAGGCGCCGGCCGGCGAGCCCCAGGGGCTGGCCGTCACCGCCGTGGCCTCGGACTCGCTCTCCGTCTCGTGGGGGGCGCCCCCGAGGCAGCTGTGGCACGGCGAGATCCTGGGCTACTACGTCGGCTACCGGGAGCACGGGTACGCACACGCTCGCCGCCCTCACCATTGCCATGGTAGATTCGCCTTTTTACGTCCCTTGTGGATCCCGGTGCCCACAGGTCCAATCGCCCCGGAGGACAGGGGCACAACTTCTCGACGGTGGCTGCGCGTCCGGACGGCTCGGGGTCGGCGCTCCTAACAGGGCTGAAGAAGTACAGGAAGTACGGTGTCGTGGTGCAGGCCTTCAACGAAAAGGGTCCGGGCCCCATGTCGCAAGAGGAGGTGGCGCAGACCCTCGAGGACGGTGAGTCGTTCGAACGTGCAGGAGGTTAAGTACTGCGTCCTCCTCTCCGGACCGGCCGCTGAGTGACCGATCTGCTCCACTCCGCAGTGCCCGGCGCGCCCCCGCAGGACATCCGCTGCAAGGCGCACGGCCCCCAGAGCCTGTCCGTCGAGTGGCAGGCGCCGCCCGTGCTGCAGCAGCACGGCGCGCTCCAGGGCTACCGCGTCTACTACGAGAACGTGGAGGAGTGGCCGCCCGGGACCATCGAGGCCGACACCAAGGTGGTGGCCGACACGCGCGCCGAGCTGCACGGCCTTCAGCGCTTCTCCAACTACAGCGTCCGCGTGTGGGCCTTCACCAGGGTGGGCGACGGCGTGCGCTCCAAGCCCATCTACTGCGTCACCGAGGAGGACGGTAAGGGAACGCGCACCGAACGCAACGCCCGGACATGGCGCGGGAGGGGGTGGGGTGCATTCGCTGACTTTGGCCGCTAGGTGGCAGCTCGCGGCAGGGGGCAGCCCTTGGGGCGGAAGCACGTGCTGGAGCTGCCACCTGTTGGGCAGTCGGCCGAAGTAGCGCCCGCCGCCACCAGAGTGCGCCAGCGACTGCGCCCTGCCTCGTTAGTGGGGAAGGCCTCACCCCCTCTGCTCTCTTGCCCAGTGCCGGACGCCCCTGCCGACATCAAGGTGGTGGCCAGCTCGTCGTCCTCGCTGGTCGTGTCGTGGCTGCCTCCGACGCGGCCTCACGGCAGGCTCACGGGCTACACGGTGTACCACCGCGCCCTGGACGCGCCTGGTGGCCGCGAGCAGGACTCGGCCAAGCACCGCCTGCCGCCGGCCGCCACGTCGTACGAGGCCGTCAACCTGAGCAAGGGCGTGGCCTACGAGTTCTGGGCCACCGCGTCCACGCGCGTGGGCGAGGGCCACAGCACCTCGGTGGCCTACGCCAACGTGTCGCCCACGGTCCCGGCCGCCGTCGTGTCGTTTGGGCAGCGCCTGACGGTGCGGCGGCGCGGCGCCGTGTCGCTGCCGTGCGCCGTGGTGGGCGTGCCGACGCCCCGGCGGTCCTGGTCCCGGGCCGACGGCGCGCCGACCGTGGGCGACGCCGTGACGGTGGCGCCCGACGGCACGTTGCGCCTGCTGGACGCGCAGCGGCAGCACTCCGCCAACTACACGTGCACGGCGGCCAACGCCAACGGCTCGGACCAGATCGTCTACCAGGTGCAGGTGCAAGGTGAGTGAAGCGACCCGAGCGACTCGACTCGGCTTCCGGCACCGACCCTTCATGTCACGTCCTCCTCCGCTGCAGTGCCGCCCGGCGCCCCCTCGGTGCGCGTGGCCTCCACGTCGTCCTCGTCCGTGCAGCTGCAGTGGGCCGTGAGCGACACGGGCGGCTCGGCCATCCGCGGCTACCTGCTCAACTACCGGCGCGAGGAGGGCGAGTGGGAGGAGCGCACGCTGGCGGCCGACTCCACCAGCTACCGCCTCACCGGCCTGGACTGCGGCTCGCAGTACCAGCTGCAGGTGCGTACCGAGCCAAAGGGCGGTGATGTGTAGTGCTTCCGAATATATTTGGAGTTTGCTTGACGCCCGACAGATGATGGCCGTGAACGCGGTGGGCTCCGGGCCGGCGTCCACGCCCCTGGTGGCGCGCACTGACGGCGGCCCGCCAGGCAGACCCGCGCCGGACGACTTCGTGGAGCCGAACGCCAACGGCGTGACCCTGCGGCTCGGGGCGTGGGTCGACAACGGCTGCCCCATCTTGTCGTTCTCCGTGCAGTACCGGGAGAAGGGCCGCGAGGAGTGGCTGACGGCCGCCAGCAGCGTGAGCGGTGTGGGCGGCCATGAGGGCGGCCACGGCCTCGACACCTTCCCGCTGACGGGGCTCTGGTCCGGCTACGTCTACCAGGTGCGCGTCGGGGCGCGCAGCGAGGCCGGCGTCACCCAGGCCGAGTACGAGGTGGCCGCCGCCTCCGCGGCCGGCAACGACGTGACCGTGGGCCTCGGCGGCCCGGACTCTGTTCGTGAGGGCGAGGGCGCCCTGGGCGCCAGCGGCGTGGGCGGCGCGGGGGCGCTGCTCCTGTCCCAGACCATGTACCTCGTGTACGTCACCTCGCTTTCGCTGGCGGGTGGCGTCGCCCTGGCGCTCCTAGTCATCTGCATACGACGACGTACGTGATCATGGTGGTCCTTTGAGACTTTCACTGCGCCCTTTAGTAAAACAACTCGTCAGTAACATGGCGGTCACTCCCAGGTGGCCTCCGCCGGCGGCAGGACGGCGGGCGCGGTGAGGGCGGCCGTGGCCGCGGCGCCCCGGGCGACGGCACCATGGCCATGGACAACAAGCACAACCTGGCGCAGCGCGAGCAGTTCTACGCCGCCGTGCAGAAGGGCGGCCAGGAGCGCATCCCGGAGTACGCCGAGGACATCTCTCCCTACGCCACCTTCCACGTGGCCACGCACGTGCCGAGCCACGTGAGCAGCCACCTGTACCACGAGGAGCGGCTGGCCGCCATGGAGACGCTGCAGCTCAAGAGCGTGAGTGGCACCCGGGGGAGCTCAGCACGGCCACGGCCCGGATCCCGCGCGCAATAGTGAAGTGTAATAAAAATGAGTTGAAATCTCAACCGTTTTCTCCTATTCAGGGCAACCCCATGAAGGACGAACTGGGCAAGATGAGAGTCAATTTGAAGAACATGAAGAGCGCGCGTTCCGAGGGGGACTACTCCAGCTCCACGGACCAGTGGTCGGAGATCGGGCCATGCCGGCCGGACCGCATACCCATGCAGAGTGAGTACTAACCGTCCGGCCAAACGCAGCCTGCGGGTTGATGAGTGTCCGGGGCAGTTCCAGGAACGGGTGTTCGTACGCCACGTGATGTGTGAGCGACTGCGAGAGTACGGCTTCGTACGGAACATGACTGGGCGCGTCTTGAGATGGCGAGTCAGGGCATGTGTCGTTTTACAACGTAGCGCCTCTCAGCCGCTCACAAAATCGCGTGACGGACGGATATTCTTGACCGTTTGTTTCTCCTGGAATTGCCCTCCTCCGACCTTCTTGACCCCGCGTTGACCTTCCCTTTTGCTGCCCGCCAGCGCTGCTGTACGGCGGTCAGGGCACCGAGTCCAGCACGTCCCCGGAGCAGTCCCCGGTCCCGGAGCGGAGGTCGCGCCACCACGCGGCGCACCACGCGGCGCACCACGCGACCCCCGGCCGGCACCGCGGCCAGCACGGCGGCGGCCACGGGCCCCCCGCGCCGCACGGGGCCCCGCCGCAGCCGCACCACGGCAGGTAAACCAAGTAAGGGAACGTGCTCACACCCGCAGCCCAGGTAGGAGAGCGACATCGAATCGACGTCGCGCTTCGACGTCTCAATCGGAAATTCGTCGATTTGGGTAAAAAAAAAGGGGCCATTGCTCGACAAAATCGACCAAATTTCGATATTGGATTCCTGGCTGGGGTGCCTCCATCGCTGTCCATGTCCAACCTGATTTGCGGAATTGGGAGGGGGTGGGGTGACCCACCCCACCCAACACCTGTTACGATTTTGAAATAAACACTTGGGGTGGGTCGCATGTCGGATTTATAGGGTGCGTCGATTAGCGAAAAACATTCGAAAATCCCAGGTGTTTACTTTTACCCGACGACGGGCAGTGCCTTTTCCTCTTTTGGGCCTTCTCCTCCTTCGGGCAGTGGCCTACCCACACGCTGGTTTGAGTAAACGCCCCGCCCCCTCGGTGAGTTGACGCTGAGACCCGTTCGTGCTCTTCTGCCTGCAGGCGGCCGTCGGGGGAAGGCCTCGGCCGCATCCCGTTCGGCGCGCGTCTCGACCCGCCCAGCGGCTTCACGGACGGCCACGCTCTCGGCCACGAGGTGAGCGAGGCCGAGTGCGACATGGACACCCTGCACCGGCTCAAGGGCAGGCAGGCCGGGGCCGCGGCCGCGGCCGCCAAGCCCAGGGCCAAGCGGCTGGGCGGCGCGGGCAGCAACCACTTCACCATCGCCGTGTGACACGCGCCTGGAGGCCCGCCCGGAGGCGCGCCCTGAACACCGTCCCCACTCCAGGAGAGGCCTTACCGGGCCGTGCCTTCCGCTTACGTGCCTTTACCGGACAGGCCACGACGGGCTCAAACCGCCGTGTTTGAGAATGTGGTATCGTCTGTCCAACTGATGTGATCCCCTCCCCCACTGCAGTGGTATGCTTAGTGAATGAGACTTGCATGACTATGATGTCAATAATTTGCATCTCAATTTGTATCTAGGTAATCATTTGATGAGTTCTCACTGTCTTAACCAAATTTTAAATAAAGAAATAAACGAATTAAGACACTAACTGTTCAGTGTCGTGTGATGTTATCAAGTTATCGCTCAACAGCACTGCAACTTTAAAGCCATGAAGGAAGATGTGATTAATTGGGTTGTCTGAGAACTGATAATGTTAATGAGAGAACACAAATGATCAAAGACTGTTCCACGTTAATAATATCAGACACTGCCAGAAGTAGTCTCTTTGGTATAAAATTGTCAATACTTACTTGCTCAATGCTGCACTGCCACATTTGAACTTGAAACTGCATCAACTCATAATGACTGAGATTCGTGAGGAAAATTGCTGACTTATTTTACTGGTCAAAAATTAGGATTGTAGTGAGTTTCCTTTTGCAGCAGCCACTAGGTCAAGAATTTATCAACTTTAGTTATGTTTGAAAATATCTATTTCTAATGGTTATGTCACACAGTGCCAATGACATTGTAAAACCGGTAAAATGTAAATAGAAAATAAATTATTTGTTATTTTTATAATAAACATGAATGGAGCAAAAATTAAGAACTGTGTGAGTGTTATTTTAATACATGTTTCAACCGCCCACTATAAATATTGTACAAATATACGCCTGCCTTAGGCCCGCCCCATGTGACACCAGATGCAAGGGTTACTCGACGAGACCCGTGGTAGTAGGGCTTGCTGATTTTACAGCTTGAGCGGAACGGCTCCGCTAGACCCCGCCACATAGTGGGTGTCCACATCCCCACCACCACCCCTAGCACATTTTCGAATCTCGGCCGGGTGATATTTTTCGCGCTCCGCTGGCCATGGCTTTTCAGCCGTGCGACACCTCATGTGATGGGCCGGTACGCAGACAGGCGCTGGTTCGAATCTAGTCGACGGAACCCTTTTGCCCCTCTGCCAGCCATGTGTTTCGGGGTGTGAGCGTGAGCCACGGCGGAGATAAGCTACACCTGTGCAAAAGCCTCATTGGCTCAGTTGGTAGAGCGCGCGCCCGGGACGCGCATGGTTGTCCGTTCGAAAACTGACCGAGGCTTGTTTTTACCTATTTAGTAGTTTGCGGGACCAAGGGTTAGGATGTTGCGATCAGCGCATCGCACCGGCAACGTAGGCAACCCTTCTGCCACCCTCCTAAACCTCCACGCGATGACATCACCGGGCTTTTGCCGAACCCTGCTGGAAGATCACCCCAGCTCGGCTCGGTCCGGCCCCGGGCTGCGCTCGGACAGAAAACGCCAGTCAGCTGTAGAGCCGCCGTGAGACATCGCTTGCATCGCTCGCTCGTCGTGAGAGACAAGCTAACCTCATCAGAAGCATGCACGGCGACAGAGTGCCCGAAAGGTGTGTAGAGGTGCTCAGCAAGGTGCTGTTTATGTACTGAGGTTACATCATATTCATGGTTTTCGAACCTCAGGGCCGTCGGACACGCCTAACCTCAAACCGCCCCGACTTCAAGCTCTGCTGCAGCACCGCCCCTCGCACGCCATCGTGATCGTGGACTACTGCAAGTTCGTCCACGACACCGTCCACTACGCCGGCGGCGTCTCCATAACCTGTACAATGTGATACTACTGTACGTTAATGTAATAGTACGGTACTGATGTGGTGAGTGAGTGTGGCGCTCTGCGCCCCGTCTAAATCCCTGGGCCCTGGGTAATAGTAAAATCTATTTTCCTGTGTGCTACAATAAATAGTGTAAATTTTTAGAGATGTATAATCAGAAGCCAAGCTAGCACCGGTCGAGTAGGGTGAGGTTCAATGTTTTAATTTTTTATGGGCGCCAGGAACATGTCCAACAAAGAATTACTCCGGTTTCAGAATTATTTATTGATACTAAAGAAAAGTGAGCATCCCTAGCCTACACATAACCTTACATACTCATACACACACTTCCACACTGGTCACCTGTCCATGTCATGCCTGAAAGTATCAACATTAAAGGCGGGTAGAGTGAGCTGGAGAGGGCCGCAGGCTACGAACCCTCATGCCTCAACCCTCTACTACCCGCCGACGGAGAAGTAAAAGCCTAGCAGAAATAGACTGCACTGACATGAACAGGCGACCTCCAGTCACTCACCCATTCACACACTTGCTCTCACACTCACACATGGGGTTAAGTACTCAGGACCTACAGGGGCGGATCTGGCTCGCAGTTGAGGGGGGGGGGG